TCAAAATTTGGCACTTTTAAAAAAAATTGGATGTTTCTTGCTGTCCGGTACTGTATTTTTTTTTTTTTTTTCTAATTTAACCTATTCTTTTCAATTAGAGATCTGGCTCTTAAAAGTCTTCTTATATCCTTTACTATAAATTTTTTTTCTGTTTTATAGCTTCGTATCTTCTTTCTTCTCTTTAAGAGCTTGTTTTATAAGTTTCTTCTAGGAATATTCTTCTATATATTCTCTCTTTCTTAAAGTATCTTGAGTCCTCTTTTGGTTTCTTTATTTTTAAATCTTAATCAAACTGCTTAGATTCTTTTTCTTCTATTTTCTGGGTATAAAAGTCTTTCTCTTTTCTTTTTTTAGTCTTTTTTCTTTTATTTTTCTTCTTAGAACCTGGTTTTCTTTCTAGAAAATTTTTTTGTATTTCATTAAAGATCTTCTGGTTTCTAAGATATTCTACAAAAATCTTTTCTAATATCTTTAGTAATATATTTTTTTTTTTTTTCCAATTTTTGGTACCTTTCGACCTAGGTGCTATAAGACAGATTCATACCAAGTTTCATTAGGACTTCAACCCATATATCTATTTTGCAAGTAACTCTTTCTTATTCTTTTTCTATATTTTATTATTATACTGTAACTCTTTAATACTTATTTGATATATTGTTTCTGTCAGCCATTCTTCTGAAGTTGTTTATATGATTTTTGGTCTTGATTCTTCTTGAATCTTGTTTAGTATCTTTGCTTCTGTAAGACCAGAAATATCATATCCTTTGTTTTTATCTTGTTTTTTTGTTTTTTTTCTGGTATACTAAGACAAATTTGACAGATACTTTAAACTATATTACTAGAGTTCTTAATTCTGATTTATTATGCTGCCTTTGCCAGATTTTTTTTATTCTTGAAGTCTCTTGCTTTAATCTAAATTCAACTTCAATTTTATTTTAGCAGCTTGTTTTTTCTCTTGTCAAACTTGTATTTTTTTTTTCTTTTTTACTTTTCTTTTTGTTTCTTGTTGGTTTGTTGTGGTAGTCTTGACAGATTCTTTAAATTGATGTACTGTAGACTTTAGTGTTATTTTGTTGTGCTATCTTTGTTAGCTTTTTCTTTGTTTTAGGAAAGAGACAAAAATCAGCTGATTTTTTAGGTGTAGGTTTGTGATTCGATCAGGTTCTATATTTTGTAGTTATATTTAATTGGCTAATCTTTGAATCAGATGGGAGTAGGGGTATAGCCTCTTAGTAAATTGAAATTACCTAATTTCTGTCCCTCTCCTTAGAGTCTTCTGCTTCAATCTGCTTCTAGCTTTGACTTTAATTTGGCATATTGTTTTTTTCTTTCTTCTAGTAATCTTTGAATTCTATTAGCTATTCTTAATTCTACTATATAACTAACTATTTCTTTTATTATAATACAGTTAATTAGGTCTTTCTCTTTTTGTATTACTTTGTGAAAAACCTTATGTTCTCTTTCTATAAGTACAAGTTCTGTGTATTCTAGTTTTCTTATATTATAATACTATAATTCTTCGTAAAGCTCTACTATTCGCTTTTCTGCTATTTTCTTCAGAATAAGTTCTTGTCTAGCATATTCTGCTATTATTTTTTCTACTTGTATGCTATTGTTATACTCTAGATATCTGCTATTACCTCTTTTATATTTTCTGGTATATTGAAGTTAATGTAATCTCATCTATATATTTCTATATTTTCATGTAGTTCTTTTAATTTCATTTTTGCTAATTTTGCTGAGACGAGTTTTTTCTAGAATATTCTGTTGTTTTTTTGCTTCATATAACTTGTTATTTTTTGACTACTGTTGTTTGTTATTGTTGTTTGTTGCAATTATTTACTATTTTTGAAGGACGTTTAAAGCAGAGCAAATTCTTAAAATATATATTTTATTGAATTAACTTTAGGGTTAGGGTCATCTTATATTGGGGTTAGGTTAGATTTTAGGTAGTTATATATAAGCAAAATTGCCTTTCTAATATTTTTAATTAATCTACCTGAGGTAGGTTTAGACTGCCATTTTTTGTATTTTTCAGATTTTTTGTTTTTATTTCTTGTTTTGCTTTACCAGTGATCATCAAAATTCTATAATTTGATTGGTCAAATATCATGTGATTCTACTTCGCTTTAGACGACCTCTATTTTTGTTATCTTCATCATGTGGTTTTTGTTATGTTTTCTTTGTTTATTTTTTATTATATATTGTGATTTTTGTATTACCAAAACAAATATGTGATTTAGAATCAATGCTGATTTCTTCAAAGTTCACAAAATGCAAAAAATATCAATGATTTTTCACAACTTCTTCTATTACTTTGCTTTTTCTGCTTTTTTTATTCAAGTCTCTTAAGAGACTAAGTATTTTTTGTTATTCTCTTTCTCTTTACTTAGAGGCTTGAAATTAGTTTCTTAGTAATTCTTGTGTATTTTTGTAGTTTTTTTATTAATTTTTTTTCAGAATTTTGTATTTTGATGTATATATTATATATATAAATAATATATATAATTATTATAAGAATAAATGTTTATGTTGCCCTATTACATAACCTTTTTGTTACAGGTCATGTGCAACATATAAAAAATATAAGCAGTGATTTTCCATGCTGATCATTGTTTATTTTCTTTTTTTTGTTTTAGCCTGTGTAGACGTTTTACTAACTCTATTTATTTTCCTTTTTCAGACTTATAGATCATAAGTCATTTCTGGTATCATCGTTATTGGAGCATTGTTATTCGAATCGTTTTTGGATCATTGTTACTGGAATTGTGGTGTTGAAATCATCGTTACAGGTATCATTTTTAGATCGTCGTTAGAGCCTTTTGGAGTCACCGTTACTGGAGCTATTGTTATTAGAGTCGTACTACTAGAGTACTATTAGTATAATAGAGTCGTGTTACTAGAGTCACTATTAGTAGAATTAAGTTGCGTTTCTTGTTTTCTGCTGTGGTATTGCTGTTACAAGATTGTTACTGGTGGTTTCTCTTGTCTTTGGCGTGATTAACTGAATTTTTTTTTTTCAGGTAGCTAGTTCATAGAACTATCATTTCTGGGGTCACTTAAAGCCAGGTACATCATGGGTTACCCAATATATTACCCAGATCAGCCCAAACAAAACAAAGCGAGATGACAAAGAAAAAAACATGAAAAATATAAAAAGCTGCTATCTAAACCAGTCTTGGTTCACTAAGTAAAAGTGTCAGAAATGCGATTTTACTATAAGAATTACTTAATTTAACTTTAACTCTATTTTAATTAAAAATCGAAAAATCGGGTAAGCTCATGATGTACCTGGCTTTAAGCGTCCCCTGTTTCTGGTGTTTGCTTGTTGATCTTTGTTTGTCTGATTCGTTGATTTGTGGTGTTGGTATATCTTTTATAATTTCATTTATATCATCTGAGTTTTCCATGATTTCATTTTATTCTTTAAAATTATAACAATAAATATCCCAAGCACTAGGCTATTTTTTTGGATTAGAATCTATGCATTGATTAGCTAATTCAATATAGCAATCTGGGGTCATAATCTATTGCAAATCTTTATTGCAAGATCATCATTAAATTGATAACTATCGAAAGGTCTTTGTCCAGTTGACATCTCTGACATAATGATCCCAAAACTATAAATATTAGCGGCTTCTATAAACTTTTGGCCCATCAAAACCTCAGGAGCGACATAAAGAATGACACTATAAATATCCGTGGCATCTTTTTAGGTGTTATTGCTGGAGTTTCGTGCATGTAATCTTGTTTGGTATTGTTAGTCTTTGTTGGTGTGTATTTATCACTTCGGCATCATTTTAGTTATTATTTTTCACTACTAGAATCGTATTTTTGGTCTTTTTGTTGCTAGTATTGCTATCTGTGGTGTGATTAACTAATTTTTTTTTTCAGATATCTAGTTATTGTTTATGGAACCATCATTTCTAGTGTTTCGCTTGTTGATCTTTGTTGGTTTAATTCGTCGATGTCATTATTGGTGCATTATTTTCAATGTTACTATTGGTAAGCTGGAATCATTATTAGTTTTATTGTATGTCACATTAGTTGATTACAATTATTTGATATGTGTGATTTTGATAGTTAGGGTAGGGTGAGATTAGTTAATGGTTAGGGTTAGATAGGATTAGTTAGTTAGCGGTTAGGGTAGGTTAGTTAGTGGTTAGGTTAGATAATAAAAATTCATACAATACAATAAATTTAAATATACTTACGCTTTGATTGGCTGATTATGTATCATGTGACCTGTGACAAAAATATTATGTAACGGGGTGCAACAAATAAATTTATCCTTATTATTTTATATATAATAAAACTTTAAAATTAAATAATTTTTAATCTACTAAACTAATCTAGATAACTTAACTACCAAAATGATCTTTTTAAAGAGAAGATCTGAATGAATCCAAAATTATTTAATTCTGATTACGTAATCTTAGGATTAATAGAGTTTTGTATTACAAGTTACTCTCGTTATAGTAAACTCTCGATATAGTGAAGACTAATTAAAATCGCAATATAGTGAAGTTAAGCTAAAGCCAGTTTATATAAAATTCTCTTGATATAGTAAATTTACTAATAAAACTTTTGATATAATGAATTTTTTAAAAATTTTCATTAATGGAACAGATCACTTCACTATAACGAGAGTGACTTGTATATTTACTATAGTAAATATAATATAAAACTCTATTGATCTTGGGATTATGTGATCAGGATTAGATAATTTTAAATTCATTCAAATCCTCTTTTTGAGAAGATTATTTTGGTAGTTAAATCATTCAGATTGGTTCAGTAGATTAAAGATTATTTAAATTTAATCTATTATATATAATAATATTATAATTATATAATTTATTATAATTTTTTTTAAATTAGCTAATCAGAATTGACTTATGTGAGAAGAGGGAGTATATCAGAACTCTGAACAATCTACAAATAGCTAACAATTTGCAAAAATTACTAAAAATAAAATAATCTGCAGAAAAAAAACTTGAAATAAGCAAACTAATTACTATAAATAAAAAGATTAACAAAAAAATAGTCTAAAATAAACAAACTAAAATCTTATCTGTCTATAGATTATTCAGGATCCTGGTGTATTTCTATAGTAAAATAATATTTTATAATATTTGTTACTGCCCTTACCACACCTTAAAATCAAATCAAATTCAAATCAACAAAATATTTGATTTATTTAATAAATATTTAAAGATTTGATTTAATTTTTATTAAAACTATAAATATAATAGCTATTTATATAAATTTTATTAAAATCACTATCAAGAATTTAGAACTCTTTTTGATAATCATCTGGTCAATAAATTCAAGAAAACTAAATTACAGAAAAATATTATAAAAGATACTAAAGTAAATAATATACTTGATTCTACAAAAGTAGATATGTTGTTAACAAAGTATCAAGAGTGTAAAACTGAGATATAAACTACTTTAAACTAGTTTTTGTAGAGGTTAAGCTTTGGTTGATAAACTCCTCTATTATATTTGGCATCTAAACCAAAAAAATATTTTGGAAACATAAAATGATTAGATTAATATTAAAAGTATTACAAATTTTATAACTATAAAACTTATAAGAAACAATCTCAGAAAAGCTTCATTAGCCTATTACTTTTTTCAAGAAAATTTTGTCAAAAAGTAAGCATTTCAGCTTATACTCTTCAAAAGATCAATATATAATTTTTTAAAATAGTCAATATTATTTATCTGTTTATATGAGTAAATAGAGTTACCAAAATAGAATAACAAGCAGATATCTAGAATAAGCAACTAAGTACAGATTATATAATAACTTAAATTAATTATATACTTTAAATTAAAAAAATTGGTAAACAATATTTCAAGACTTCTGTTTTATGTCTTGGACTACTCTGTCTAGTTTGTTCTAGTTTAGTTAACTTTTTTTTAAACTCTAATTATAGAGTTTTTTTCAAATACATATATATATTATTAGGATAGAGTTAGATACAGAGCTTTTTTATCTTATAATATATAATTTTTTAAGCCCTGACACAGACCTATAATCATAATTATTGGATTTTTTTTTCTTATCTTTTGTCTTTATAATATATCTTAAATTTGTTAATATAAAAGAAGAAAGTTTTTTATATAATATATATAATAAAGTTGTTTTTAAATTTTTTGAATATATTTGATCTATTGGCTAAAATATATTAAGTTTAGAAAAAAAAGTAATTGAAAATTGTATTAGGACTTGAGGTTAAAAGTATTAATCTGAACATTAATATGAAAGATACTAATTGTATTATTGGTACTAATATTTTTGATAATTTTGATAAAATGATTAAGTTTTTTAAAAAATATGTATTATATAGAGTATATTTGTGATTATAGCTATATTTGTAGCTAATTATATTAAGAATAAATTGTAATGCTATATAAATAATAGAATATTTAATTTTGTATTAAGTAGTATCAATACTTTCTGAAGTCTTTGTAATAAAAGATATATATTATAATTGAAGCTTAGATAACAAAAATCTGAGAATTCTGTCTATTTCTTTGATAATACTATATAAATTTATAGTTAAAGATTCTATAGCTAATACTAGTATGTTATTGTGGTAGTTTACTATATATATTAAAAAATATCTAAGATATTAAAAAATAAAATAATTACTAGAAGTACTTATTCTACTATCATCACACAGATCGAATGAAGCCATATTAGGAATATGCATACCGGATAAGAATTAGAGACATATCGAAAACTAATATGTGTTAATATTTTGTATTAAAATATCATGAAGCTATCAGAAATACTAATAGACCTATCAGTATATCTAAAAATATCCTGATATGCTTTAATAATATAGGAATAAAATCAGGAATATATTAAAATTTTGATATATCTATTGATAAATTTATAGAGTTATGATTTTTCTTAGATAGTTATAGATATTTTAAAGTAATATCTGTAAAATATTGAAGTACCGATAGCTATATTGGTAATTAATAAATTGGATAAAAACTATATTATACTGATAACAGATTTATATCTATAATTATTTGAAATTTAGCTGATAACCTTTATATATATATAGACTGCCGTCAATAGAAATTAAGCAGATCTACATTTGAAAAAAATTAATACCTTAAATTTCACAGTTTATATCTTAATGAATTTTAAAGATATCTTGAAGTTTTAATATTCAAAAGAAAGCTTAGATAGTAAGCTTTTTTTTGAATATTAAACATCAAGATACCTTTAAAATTCATTGAGATATGAGCTGTGAAATTTAAGATATTAATTTTTTTTCAAATATAGATCTGCTTGATTTCTATTGATAGCAGCCCATATAAAAATATCAGATACTATTGATACTAAACTTTTAAATTTTGCTTAAATAATTACAAATTTAAATATAAAACTTTCTATTAACTGAAATGACAGACATATTTTTGTGGGTTTTTTTTTCTAACTACAACTGTTCTAAATATAAATCTGTCTAAAATATTATAGATAGAGATAATATAATCTCTATTTAAGTTATAGTACTCTTTATTCTATAGTTCAACATTACAAATATTACTAATTTGGCAATAATATCTTATTCTTAGCTCATCAACAGCTTGATATATCATACAAAAGCCAATACATATTTTTTTGAACCTTCTGGTAGATAAATCACGTATTCAAAATAATATTGAACAATACCAGGATATATATCGATATTATTATTGTTCAATATAAATTTTGCGAATATTTTTGCTAACTTTATATATCTTTTTAAAAAAGTTGACCCAAATATTTTATTCTCAATTTTTATCTTTC